GTATTTTGTCATTAGTCAGTTTCTCTTTACTCAGTGTGATGAACTGAAATTATACTGCTTCTTTGTTTCTAAGTATTTTCAATGAAGTTTGGGGACGTTCTGTTAACTCCACTGTTCTGTTCTGCTCAATCATTATATATACCTACAGACCCTCCTCCACTAGGAGTGGAGAAAAAATTGTTTTATTTCAAAATGAGTTTGGAATTTTTCTAACCTCGTCAAAACTTAGCAATGACCAAAATTGATTCAATTGAAACTTTTCAGTTCTTTCATCCTGTTTGGTTGATCCCATTTGAGGGGAAGCAAAACCCAACTTAGTGTTTCAAGGCTGATGCATTTATCTCATTGTTACATAATAAAGGTTTTTGTGCGAGCTGTTCATGAAGCGAAGTGGATGAATGAGATGGAGATCAGCATCTATGACTCCTGGTTTGACCCAGTTGTATCGTCCTTGCCTGGGCTTATCCCTGATGGTTTCATATATCTTAGAGCAAGTCCTGATACTTGTCACAAGAGAATGAAGCTACGGCAGAGAGCCGAGGAAGGTGGAGTCAGCCTTGAGTATCTCCACGGCTTGCATGAAAAACATGAAAGCTGGCTTTTCCCGTTCCAGAGTGGTAATCATGGGGTCTTGTCTGTTAGTAAGCTTCCTTTACACATGGACAGCTCTTTACCTCCTGATATTAGGGACCGTGTGTTCTATTTGGAGGGTGATCATATGCATTCAAGTATTCAAAAGGTATCATGTTGATCTTGGTTACCTTCTGTTATCTCATCTTGAGACTGTGGCTTATTTTTCTTTGATGGTCTGCAGGTTCCTGCTTTGGTTCTTGACTGCGAGCCAAACATTGATTTTAGCAAAGACATTGAAGCAAAGAGGCAGTAAGATAACTATCCTTAAAAATCTTGCACGGGATTCTTACCGATTTCTGTGATTTTGTTTGGAAATATGGCTTGTTAGATTCTTGTCCTCTTATATTGTGGATTTATTTTGAGGTCTGTTGTTTGGAATATCTACTATAATTTTGCCTCAAAGTTGGATTCTTCTTCTGTATTATTGATAGTTAATTGCTTCATGTCCCCAAGTAATCGTAGTTGCAAAGTTAGTTTTACTCAGCATGTAAAAACATAATCGAGCATGGGTTTGATTATCAAATGTGGGATTTATCTAATTGCTTCAAATCTTGATTGAAGTCTGTTAATGTGTTGTCTGAACGCATTCTTTGTGTCGGGCTAATTACATTCTAATATTTGGCTGTCATTACATGGGGCCTCTGATAAAATGATGTCTTTAGTGAAGAAATTACAGTATTAACTAGACCGAAGGCTTCCACCATCTTGTGGAAGGGGACTATGCTAATGCTTAAGAGAATTATCTCCTGGCCAGGTTTATTGACGACATAGTCAGGGCGTTAGAACATTAGTTTTCTGCAACCTTGATTCTTTTCGTCAACTGATACTAATAATATGTTAACATTACTGTGGTGCTGCTTTGGTACTCTCTTTTTTCTTTCCTAAATACATAACATCGCATATCAGGACTGATTTGTTGTGCAATTTGACTTTTTAAAAAGGTATGCTCGACAAGTAGCAGAGTTTTTTGAATTTGTGAAGAAAAAGCAAGAAGTCCCATCTGCAAAAGGTGGTGAGGAAGCTAAGAAGGGTAGCCAACAACAATTAGTGCTGCCCCAAAATGGAGAATTATGGGTTCCTGATAAGCATTTCCCCGAGTCAGCCCTCAAATCTCTGGAGTTTAGAAGAGCCATGTCTCTCATGTCTGGCTAGCGAATTTGATTTCTCTACGCTCGTTTTTGTTTAAGCTTTACTCAGATACATGTAATGAGTCATCTGTTTTCGTCTCATTTGTGTCTGGGTTATATGTTAGATCCTTGGTGCTTGTATAAAAATGTGTCTAACCCCTAGAGATGTAGAGAAAGTTGTACTGCCCTTAAGGTTTCTGAAGTTTGGTTGAGGTTTTATTTATTTGAATGGAAACACTTCATCAATGTCTGCTTCAATGTGAAAAGATCTTGTCCATGCAAAGTTGTCAATTTTGGTTGCGTATTTAATTTCAGTTACAACTTTGGGGTATGGTTTCCTTTGGAAAAGAGAGTATGTCAAACACAAATATTTGTTTTTGTGTTTTGTGACAAAATAACCAGCATTATAAATTCAAACAAAAACATTTCGAAATTGCAAGCATTAATAATTTTGGGAATGTAAGAATGGCAACGTCTTTTATTGGAAAAGACATTTTGATTCCAATTGCTGCCTAAACCAAACAGTAAAATGATGATAAAAATTATATAGCAATTGCCAAACATGCATATCAAAATACTGCAATTGGAATACATCATTCTCATCCACTGCATAGAGCTGATCCCCTGCATAGGGATGGCATCATAAAAGAGCTCATAATGTGAAACATGCACCACCTAAATAAAAGGGTATAATTCGAATCTAATATAGCAACTCCCATAATAAGCACGTGCACCGCTCATTTCATGCATTTGATAAAGAAGTTCACTCATTGCAACATCAAAACACTTCTTGCAATCTATGCTAGAAAGGTCACCAGTGCATTGAGCTAGGACTCAACTTAATTCTTAAGACAAATACATAATATATAGGGGGCGGATCCGTGGCACCATATTTTTGACACAAGTTTTGACACAATTTTTGGGTCATTAGATTACTCCACTTTTAATGGTTGAGATTAAATCTGACATGACAAATAGTTTTAATGTTTTAAATAAACAATCATTAATTTTATTTTCTCTCTCCTAAAAATAAAATAAAATAAATTTCTCTCTCTCTGCGTGCGCGCTAACAGAAACCAGTGTTGGCTTTGCATTGCACAACAGAAACCAGTGGTATCTCTTTGCATTGCAATCTGTAAATGTTTTCCCCTTACAACTGTAGTTTATTTTATTATAGTATTATATATATATATCTACCCTACTAAATTTCAAACCCGTCTTGATCACTTTCCTCTGAAAACTACAATATTAAGTACATACCTCTGTGCATAGTTGATGAGGTAAAGCATTTTATTTTTTTGTTAAAATAAATTACCAATTCAAAATGTGATATATACGTACACACACTATTATATATATACAGAGAGCTTCCATTGAGGGATCTCTCAAATTAACTTATTTGAGGGACACCCTTTGTAGGGCTCACTCCGTATTGTAATCCAAACCGTCTACATTTTAAATAATCATTCAAAGATCATCTCTACAAAAAATGACTTGAATCTAACATCATTTGACAACTCAATTGTGTTATTGAAATTTTAGTACTTTCTTGAAGCACCGTGTTCTTTGATTTGTAGGATACAATTGGATGTCAAAACGGTTTCCGATTTGTCTAATTTTTTGCAAGGACGATTTATGAATGTAGACTTAAAAAATAGATAGTTTGAACCATTGGAAAAAAATTCGTAGGATACCCTAAAAGGTGTCCCTCAAATAAAATTATTTGAGGCCCCCCTCGATAGAAGTGAACTATATATTTACATACATACATTTTACATTGTGATTTTTCATAATAAATTCCAAGAACCTAGCTGCGAACTTAACGGAAACCTGTAACCAATTACTAACAAGGGCTTTGACAACTTCTTTACTAAAACACTCAATATATATATTTTTTTTAAAACCAATAGCAACTCGTTTGGGAATGCTCCTGTAAAAAGCACTTCTACTCACATGCGCTTTTATTAAATAAACATTACTTTTGCTTCATAGAGGGTGGGAAAAATTTTAAATTTGAAAAATTACATTAACCAAACCATCTGTTTGGTTGGTCAGTACGCGGATTTTTTAGATCAAATGCCCACCCCTAGGTTTATGTATTTGACCACAAAAAGGTAACATGTTGCGTTTGGGTTTGGAATAATTCCACACGACAGGTTTCCAAGTCTAGTTATGGCGCCATGTTGTAAGTACACCCATAATGAAAATTTGATTTCATCTATTTGTTTCTAAGTAGAATACTAATTGGTCCAACACCAATACTTTCCTTTTAACCACTTGGTAGTATAACAGATGTAGAGTTTTATCATAAAAATGCATTGATGTTATTAGTAGTGGGACCACATAGTAGGCCACGTGTGCTACTGATATATTGGTCTTTTTTATAAGGGTAATTCAAGCTAAATAAATTGAGTCCAACACATGAATACCTCGTATCCAGTAGAGATCCGGTAATGAGCAAGGTAGGGTAAGTAAAAACCCGGTAATTTTGGTCCTCTCTCTCTCAAATTCAGACCCGTCAGGAAATCATAAAATACTTGACTATTTTTCTCCTCCGAAAAAAATAACTGTTTGACATATGCACATGTGTTAAATTTAATTTATCAAAGAGGGCAATGTCACAGGAAATCCTTAATGAAGCCCAGAAAGGGACAAGTATAATCAGTCCATCCAATGCATCACTGGACATGTCACACAATTTTGTCTAGTAGGAGAATGAGGAAAGAAGTTAAAATTGGCATTGCAAGAAATGAAGGGTTACTGAAGGAGGATTTGGGAATCAATATCAGAAAAAAGAAGAGGGAATGATGATTGAGGATTGGGAGATACAATGGGGTGATAATATACCTAGTTAGACGTTATTTTTACCAGCAGCTGTAAAGTGTAAACTTAAAACAAAAATACGCAAAGATGCCATAGGAAATTCTTATCTGAAGATTATTTATAGAACGAATGTAATATTTACATTCATACATATGTACATGTATGTATACATTTCCCTTTCTTGCATGAATTTGCATGCCTCACTTTCCCATAAACTACATCTGTTTTCCCCCAACAAGATGCAGATCATAATGCATCTAACTAATCTCTCAAAACAATAAAGGAAAAAAAAAAACAATCAAACCCTCAAAACTTGCAACTGATCTTGCATAAACATTCTCAATTGTGAGAAACTGTCACCATATTTCGTTCAATCCTTCTGCTGGGCACCATTTAGATATATATTTTCCATAAATTTTATATTCCAAGATCAAATGTCGGAGAATGTTGTAGGCTAGGATTTTGTGGGTGTATATTGGGAACCATCTGCTGCTTCTGCCTTGGCAGTTCTGATTTCTGTTTAAGAAGCAATGTAGCTTGCGCTTCCACTGCGTCAAGATCAAGGCCCTCAAAAAATAGATCATCATAAAGCACGTCCCCATTTGCATCATTGTGCTGCAAGTCTCTGCCTGCAGCCTCTGCCTGGAGTGAGAACTCTCGCTCCAAGTTGACTGCAGGAACAGATCTTGAATGATGAGAACTCAATTTTCTTTTTCGGCTTTCAATCTCATATCCCGGGGAAACACCAGTTGTACAAGGTGTGCCTTCAGCGTTACAGTTCATTTGGAAGGACTTCGAATCCATCCTGTTTGCCTGATTTGTACAATCGCTTTGAGGAGTTTGGAGAGAGAAGAATGGTTTCCCACAAGAACTTCCAGTTTCAGTTGTCCTCATTGTTGGTGCCACAGAATCAGGTGAATATGTGGCAGAACTGCTTGGCTGCCTCTCCAGGGGTGATTGGGTGAGCAATGAACGCCTGTTCCAAGACATTGAAGAATTAAAAAAAAAAAGAATTTCAGAAGCCTGCACCTCTGGAGGTAAGGATGATATTATAAGAGAGCATTCAATTTTTACTTGCAAAAATATGAGGACATGCCAAAGAGGGCATGCTCCATCCGGAGCCATAATCATACAGGTTACAGAACTAGAAGAGATAATAAATATAAATATAAATATAAATAAAAAGCAAAAAGCAATGAAACAAATAAATCCAAGCAACTAGATTGATGGCATAATTCACAGGCGAAATGCAGGAGGATTGGGGTCTGGTAAGATATGGGACATATGAACTTTAACTGTCACTTCAGTTTGCAACTAGGAAATCATTTTACTAAGAATAGAATTTCAGCTTACATATCCAAGTGACACAATAGTTGTAAAAAGTAGTTTCAAGAAACGACAACCGCCACCCCTGGTAGGGGGAAGATTAATCTCAATTGAACCTCAATATGGTTGGATAGCCATCCAAATGCATCTTAGATTTTTAAAAACTCTTAAAAGTGGCTGCAAATCAATTTTGAAATCTTTTACCAGGTTCTCAGCACCAACCCATCAAAATCATTGACAAAATGATATCTGAACCAATATGTTACCAAAATAAATTTTAAAAAAGGAACAAAGATACCAATAACCATCAGTTGCACCATGGCGGGCTTCCTACATCAGCGACTCAGCCACAGTTTCCATCTATGAAAACTAACATATTTTCCACTAAGAATGTAGATTGTTAAATTTCGATAATGAAAGGCAGTCATTGATTCATCAGACTATATTTATATGGTAATAAATATGAAATCATTACAAAAATTCTAATCCTTCCAAGCTCATTAAACCAGAAGTATCAAATCATAACGGGCCAAATATAATAAATTGCACATAATTTTTATTCTTGTTAAACTATGCCTAATTTCTTATGACAACTGAATGTTAGAGTTTCCTAAGAGACTGAAAACTTTGGAATAAGCACCTCTTTGGACCAGTGTCAGCTTTTTCTTTCAAATGTCACTTGATCACAGAACGATGTTTTATGTGAAACAAGTAAAAGTTGGATACACATTACACTACTAGATTTTCCAAGATGGTAGAGTATTCAATAATATGAACTTTCGAAAATACTTTTGGCAACTACTCATATTCATAGGTTCCTACATTATGCAAAGAAATAGTTCAGTCAAACCGCTAATGGTTTGTGAAGGATACACTGAGAGAGAGATGAAAGACCTGTATATTGCCATCATGTCAATTCCACCGCTTGCAAACTGAGTACCGGCAACCGTAGGATTTATCCTGTCATCTATGAAACTATCATTTGAGTAGTTGTCTCGCTCATCTTCCTCATCATCAGAAATATCAGCTTCTGAAGATACCCTGAGTAATTTCATTGGAGTAACAGCACATCAAGTATTACTTTCAACAAAAATTTCATCTTATTATCCACACAAAAATAATAATTAAATAATCAGAAAATATTCTTCTTATGCTTTTACCTAGAAATGCAACTATACAAAATTTGCAAATAACTTAGCTACATGTCATAAATGTATGAACTTACTCAGCTTCCTCCTCAATGAAGACCCTTACATCATCAACTGACTTCTTTTTACCTATGTAACCAAAAAATAAACATATTGGGTAAATAGGTCTCATAAAAAGATTGGAAGCTGAACAGGTAGCATTCCTATAAGTCTTCGGTGTGATTGGACTTTTAGTCATAGAGAGAAGGATCTAGTCTAGTTAGTTAGCATCAGAACTCCAAAAATAGAAAAATAAATAGCAAATAAATAAACGATACTGGAAATGACCTTTAAAAAAAATAAAAAATAAAAAAAAACTGGAAAGGACAAACATCTGGTCTAGATACATTTTAATAGACTCAATTCATATTCATAATACCTCTGTCGTGCTTAGTACGGAGAGGACCAGCTCTAGAAAAAGATCTGGCAGGGTTTTCTGTTGACCCAACATTTTTTGTCATGCTTTCTCCCCTACTTTTCCAATGATCCCCAACTTTGCGTAACCTTTTAAACTTGCGTGCCTGTTTTACACTTTCCAACTTGCCTCCAGAACTTAAATGCCAATCTTTGCCACAGCTATTGTTTGTAAGGTCTGCTAAAACAGTTTGGGCTCTATCAATAATTGGTGATGTGGAGGTACATCCTCTTATGCTTGCAGTTTCACCCTTGTTATGCAAGGGAGTTTGAATTTCATTATCAACAGGAGAAACAGAGACATTTCTTCCACAGGCATTGCCTCTCATATTGACTTTTTCACTTTTCCCAGGACTTGAACACTTCAATAGTATTCCAGTATGTAATTGGGCAGGTGAAACAGGGTCAGGTTCTAGATACTCATCTGTGTTATTTGATAGTCCTGCATAATTCACATTTATATAAGCATCATCTTATATCAGGGGACAAAAGCAATCCCTAGGAAACCATATCACATTTTGAATTAAGATAAAATTTTACTAATTGCATTACTAACCACTATTGTGGATAGGAGACTCTGGGACAACTCCACTTTTGATTAAATTAGTAAGCCGTGGACTGAGCTCACCATCTCTGAAAAAATTATTGTCTTCATCAGCCAGAAATAATGATGCCTTGCTTTCCAGAACATCAGGTGACTCAGAGACACTAGCTCCTTGATTTGACAAATTTCCCTTCAAAATTGGAGTTTGAGGAATTTTTTCAACCCTGCCGACTGATTTCTCCATCCAGGTTTCAGAATCACAACATCGAGACTTAAGTGAAATCTCATTCTTCATGCATGTTATCTGAGTCGATTTCAGATCTCCACTGGGACCAGCTTCAGTAGTTAGTTCTGTGTGGTCTTCATCTGAAGTCCTTGCATGGCAAGAATTTTGCTTCAAGTTATCCAACTTAATAATGCTTGCACTTGTTGACATGGAATGCGATAAGTCTTTCCAAGGAAACACAGGGACAACCATGACTAGGACATTTCCGGAGGCATCAACAGTTACAACATCTGAACCAAAGAGGTAAGAGTGCTCATAAGGATTTTCACCAGGGAAATTAAGTTCGTTATGCTTCTCCTCAGTTTCCAATGTTCTAGTAGGTGATACTTCAGAATCATCAGGATTCAGAAAATCTGCAACAAAATGTTCAACATTTAGCATCTTCTCCACATTCAATCGCCCAAGCCCCCCAATCCAGAAAAGAAAAGACAAGTGCTTGTTATTATTTAACATGCTGACTAGGCCATAATATTTTACGTTCACAAAACCGAGCAAGGAAAAATCCTCCTACAATTTGTGTTCAATTACCCCCACTCCCCATCCCCCAATGCAGGTGCAGCATCAGGACTTGAGATTAGGAACATAAGCACATGCATGCTTACACATACCAATTTACAGTACAAAAATGTTGTAGAGTATGAACATTTTTTATGGTTTCAGTTCATTCCTTGAGTTAGTTAACCCAAAGAAAAGATAACCAACCTCATAGACGTAGTACTACTTTTATTGTCGGAAGATGAAGAAAAGTATACAGAAGAGAAAAGGATTTATTTCAATCATCAAGCAAGAAAAAGGTTAAAAGGAATTAGTTTCCGAATAAAGTTTAACAGGCATGCACATATACAGAGGAGCAAAAAGTGCGAAAATTTCTAGCTACAAAGTAAAGAATAAGAGGACTCAAAAGGATACAATGAAAGCATATAGCGTTGAACATTTGGTAAAGTTGAAGATGAAATACTAAAATTATAACAAAAAAGGTAATATAAAGTTTATATTATAAACACAAAATGAACATTGAGTTGGTGATATTGGGCATAATGGACCTCTGAACTATTTGTAGAAGAATTATTAGCAATGAAGCAAAATGCTCACGTGTCTCAAATGGACCTTGAAAAAAAGTAAAGGAACAATAAACTACATTCGCTAAGCTCGAATTGATTAGCATGCAAATGTGCATAAGTTTGATGCGGGACTTGAAAGCAAGAGTAAACAAGTAAATGCACCTCAGATCTCCAAACAACACGATGAAACTAATCCTAGTAGTGAAGAATCTTTTTCCTTAGTAATTATTTGCACATAATCTGAATAAAGCCTTAAAACAAATGGAAGAATTTGGAATGACAAATTTTCTTCTCATACAAGCCTTTTTGAGCTACCTTCTCCATTATTGTCATGTTGTTCAGCAGTGTCAACTCCCAAGCACTTCTTTAAACATATTTCATCCTGAAAGCATTGAGTAATAACATAAGAAAATGTCATACAACACAGCAAGGCAAACAACTCAACCACATAGATTGAATCAAACCTCAAGAAGGGAAATATTGCTGTCCCTAGAAAAGGTTAGTCCTTGCAAACATTGCATCATATCAATTAACATTGTCGTCCTATGCGAATGCATTACTTTATACACTCTTGAAGGATATGTTTGGAAGTGAGGAAAGGCAATAAGAGATGGTTTCCATGTAATTTCATGGGGGTCAAAATACTTGGCAATTAATGTAGTCTCAGCAACAGTTAATTTGTCTGCAATAACAGGTGTCTGAATAGTGTTATCATCTATCACTTTCTTTCCACGATGAATGAATTGTTCAATTGAAAACTCAACAAACCGGACCTCCGGTTTGAAAATGTGAGGGATCTGCAATAAATAATGATACAATCAAATACGTTTAAAATGCAAGACTATAGCATTAAAAGTCATAAAGATGCAGCCTTAGAAAATCCCACCATCCTCGGACTAGAATGGAAATTGAAGCTATTTCTCCCCCCATTTCGCATGTGTTTCATCATATTCTTACTGTTTCCTTGCTTACGCTTGTAACCCTTCAACTCTGACCCTTCACAGGCTAAAACTAGTACGACTTGTCAAGGATTTAGATTTATTGCAAATGCAATGAAAGGTGTTTGAAAGAAAGTGTAATGAAAAAAAATGGAAAGTGGATTGATACTAAAACTTGGATAAAAGTGGGGGACAAGCAAAAGTTCATTGCATGTTCAGTCTGATCTCACCAACAGCCAACTACAGAACATGCAGTACTCATATGAGAAAAGGATATCAACTCTTCCATCATGCTTCCTTCCAGTTCTCCCCATGCGCTGAATCATTCTCAATGGTGATACATTAGCATCAAAGCATATAACTAGATCAACTTCCATGATATCCAGGCCCTCTTCGCCAATTGATGTGGCAACAATGACATTGTATCCACCAGCACGAAATTTCTGTGGGAAATCTAAGTAAGCCAGTGAAAGGTGCTGCGAAAAGAAATAAAAACAACATAGTTACCTCCAAAACAGCTTGTTGAACTTTTTGTGACTGGCCTTTTAATGCTTTCCCTGTAAGAAATTAGAACTCAATCTCATATAATTGTAAGGCAACCACTAAATCCCAAAAGCTTAAGCTATTATGGAATAAGCAAACAATGTATATGAAGCTAATGCCCTCCCTCACTTGCACCCGCATCTCCTGCACATGGAGAGGCAGGAAAACAGAGTCCGGGAGAAGCATATAGGTGCAGCCTTACCTTGCACCTTGCAAATCACTACATAAGTGAGTTGGAGGGATTGGAGGTTTCGAACTCAGAAGTCTCTAAAACCAGAGCTCTGATACCATGTTAGGCAACCTCTAGATCTCAAATGCTTTAGCTATTAGAGAATAGGCCAACTATCTATATCAATTCAACAATAACTATAGGCTAATGGATTATAGGAAAGAACTAAAGTTAACTAAGACATACATATATTCTTGGCTATGCCATAATTGTTTAGATCTAGGACAGTATTGAGATCAACATCTTCTAAGATCTCTTGACAATTATCTTCTCTTTTCCTCGAACATAAATTCATTAAAAGAGGTCAAGGATCTAGCAAGAGGGAGATGGAAGAGAAAGTGAGATAAAGGGGGAGAGAGAAAGAGAGAAAAAGAACACACAATAATTGACAAATAATAGACCAAATCATAAACAACACTTCAAAGGAGAAGGCAAGTCAATGTCATAACCATAACAACACTTCAATGTGTTTTGCCCGCATGCCAGACAACTTTCTTTCTGTTCAATGAGTAGCTTAAAAGATCACTAACAATCACTTCCCAAGTAACAACAATTTCATCTTATTATAAATTTCATTGAGACAAAAAAACTAAATTACATTAAAAATTATATTTAATGGAGACAAGTCAAAATAAAGAGTGGAGCTTCAAACCTGAACTTTGACCAATAAACTCTGTAGCTCTAACAAAATTGCCGATGTTTGCTAACGCATCCATTATGTCCCTGTATGTTTGCTTAATTATAGCCAGGAATATTTTTCACATTTTATATATAAATTGCAATCAGAAACAATAAAATAACAACAAATTAAACACAGAGAAAAGGTGGCACCTGACACTGCCCCTAAAATTTGAGAAAATGATAACCCTTGATTTCTGTGGATCATTTGTTTCTGCAGTCAGATATGTAATTATCAGCAACTGGGAGCTAACACTCTGAATCATACAAAGTCTAAAATTTAAATAATAGGCAGTCCAAATCAGCATTTGATGACAAATATTTGTTACAAAAATCAGCATTTGATGAAGAATACAATATTGAAACCATGAGACAAGCAATGCTTCTAACATTTGATAAGCAGAACTTTAAAATATTAAAAAGGGCATGTTATGGCAAATACAATAAAATTTGGATAACAGCCCACATACTGAAATGATCAAGCAGCACTTCTAACATTTTGGACAATTTGGGACTCGGAGCACCATGAGACAAAGTTTGCTGCATTATGAGCTTTGCTTTAGAAATATCTTCATTTCTACACATATACCTTGCAAATGACCTGAAAAATGACCTTAAACAACTTAATATTCTTGAATTGCTTGTTAAAAACTAAACAGCTTAAACTCCATGTCATCGACATTTAATATATAATAGATTAATCACGATACTAGTTATGTCTAAACAAGAAATTTCTTCCATTGAACTGAATTTTCAAATGCTGAATTTCTTTGTTATGAAGTCAAACACCAATTATGATGATGGGACAATGGAGGGTGTGGCCTTCACATAAGACTAAAATATCTTAAAACTTTTGAAAAGTATCTTAGAACTTAGAAAAATATCTGCCTCAAACTTATGCAAGGCGGATTTGTTTATGTCTGATACCAAATCAGATCATAAGGTGATTCTCATTTTAACGAATAGCTTGTGACACTTCATTTTCAAGCTGCATTAGTAACATTTCAATGAGAAGGATCCTAATAGATTGAAAAATTCCTGACTCGAAAAAAGTCAAAAGCATGATGGTTCGGAATATAATAACAGGCATAGTTATTAGAATGTACGTATGAGCTAAACAAGACAGTGAAGAAATGGAGAAAGCAGATGAAGGGCTTGATGGTCAGGAGACAAGAATATACCCTTGTTTTAATTTTTCTTCAAGCATTTCATATGCTGGCCTTATTCCATGGCTTGATATTAGCTTACGAATGTGGTAAAGCGTAAGGAGTGCTCCAAAATAACCTTCAATGTCTCCAGACTTAATTTGGGGGAGGTCTGGAGGTGCTTGACGAAATTTCTCCCTTGAATCAAGTAAATAACATGGGCTCAACTGTAAGAATTCCGCCCCCACCAACAAAAAAAAGAAAAAAAAGAAAGAGTGAAATTATGTAGACCCAAAAAGAATGTGATTGCATCATTAATAATTAACCACAAAAGAACAAATATATATATATATATATATAAAGATAAGGTAGTAAATCCCATTAATAATTAAAAAAACGATGATAATTAAAGAGAGCCTTTTCTGTTCCTTAAACTAGAGGAATATCTGAGGTACAGCTTCTTTAAAAACCAGTGAATATTTTCCAAAGCTATCTACATAACAAACCGAAACCAGAGAAAAACTGTATAATAGGCTAGCAGTATCATAGCCTTGCATTATCATCAGTGAAAAGATACATTTTAGCGAACTTCATCATCACTAAGGGAACAAGACCAGACATTGCTAGAGAAACTGACCACCACCCTGATTGTTATAATGTCTGCTATAGCAGGGCCCAGAACAGAATAAAAATGCAAAGAAACAATCTTGTCCAGCACAGTTCTCCTAGAGGAAATTAGAATTTAAATTATTCTGAAACCATACAGTCTGAACATCTCTAGTTGGGAGAACTCCAATTGCACAAAGCCTGGTTGCAAATGGTCGCATTGCTTCCACGAGCTTATTGTCTATCTCAACAGCTTCTTGACCCATTGCGACCTAGAATAATTGCAACAAAAGTTTTTTTCCTCTGTTTTCAGACCCAAAAAAAAAAAAAGTTTTCTTTCCTGTGTACAAAAAATTATTTCTGGAAACAAGAGACATACCTGAATCAACTCTACCTCCCTGTTGTGAACATATTTTTTGACATCAGCATCATCTTCATTGCGATATTCAAGTGTTGATATATATAAGTTATCAATAACTTGCTGGACAGCCTGCTGCTTTGCTGTACGATTGCATGTTACTAAGGATCTAACTTTTAAAATGAAAATTAGTAGAAACCCAGTATATTAGTAACTTACATCCCGGTGTTGCACTCAGAGCTAAAATTCTCAGTTGCACTTGTGCAGCCATTAACTAAAAAACTAAATTATCATTAGTATTTCAAAAGACCAATTTTACCCATAAATAACACATTGAACCAACATTTATCAAGGTAGAACTACAAGAATAATAATACTAACGATAATTAAAAAAAAAACTCATCTGAGCTGGTAAATGGGGAAATATATTAGTTTAGATATAACTGAAAGAAAGAGAACTGACCTCGCGAACTGCAACACTGTAAGAATAGTTTCCCAATGCTCTGTGAGCTTCATCAACCACCAAACATACCAAGTATTCGATTGAGCATGTGCCTGCAACGAATTACCTCTGAGAAAAATCCATTGACAAAGTATCTTTCTCAAAAAGAAGAAAATATATCATGCATAAAAACTGGTGGTGGAATATACTTACTTTCTAATTGGAAAATATTAAATAAAAACAATTACTATTTAATTCGGCCATGGAAGCTCTTTAATTGAGAACCTATCAAACTTACAGAGGATTAAACTTTAGGTGTTTATGCAGAGAGTGTGAAGTGCTTCTTTGAGCTAAAACATTATGCATTACATAGGAGTTACCCATCTTCAAAAGTGGGTACTTTTAACAATGCTGAAACTTATACCAAATTTGCATAGCCATTCCCTCTACTCTAGTGCCTTATTGCACATAGGAAACACCTTCTGATGCAGGGTTTATGATATAATGAATGAAATATGGATACATATATATACATATCAAAATCCACCCCTTGTCATTGAGAAAATCCTAGTGTATATAGTTCAAGAATTAATCACCAGACTGAATGTCCTTCTCCAGCACTTGGGGAGTAACAAAGAAAACTCGTTTAGTTTTCCACAAGGATGCTCTTTTTGTAGGACTTATCTGACCTGTCATGTCAATTGTCCATTCCTGCAATCGGTTTGATCATAATCTTCTCACAATATGTAAGTAAATAAAGTTGTCGAGTAAACACCAAATATTCAACAAAACTCTGCTTATAAATAAAAAAGGCTCTTACTTGTGATATTCCTACAATATTATGGCATGCTTGTATCTGTTGCACAACAAGAGGTCGAGAAGGAGCAGCAAAGACTATTTTTCCTGTTGTGGAAAGAACAATGTCAATGTTTCACAACTTTTATAAATAAACTCGAGAAACCCACAACGTGGGAAACTGAACTAATTTTTTTTTATAGGAAACAAATTTCATTAAGAATAGAGAATGGGACAAAACAATGCACAAGATGTCCACAGGAGCAAGAGAGAGAACTCAGGATAACATCAGCAAGCCAAATGAAAACAGCAGTACACCAACAAAGAAGCAAAAGACACAAATAAATAGCAGCATTCCAGTTTTGCAGAGAAAGAAGCATCCCTAAACTAGGAAAAATATTGAAGCCCACAGAGATGCCCAAAAGCAAACCCCTTGCAACAAATAATGCATCTCTTCACCGCACATCTTCGCAGAACCATACCCTTCTTCCTCCCACCAAAAAACTTATGCCTCTATTTCAGTGATTCATTTTTCCTCTTGCAATTATCTAAATTTTGGTGGGGTGACAAGACAACTACAGATTCGATGTTCAAATTATCTGAACATTACTTTACACATAAAATGTTGGATAAAAGGTGAATGGGCCTTTTCTGTAGGCATAGAGGAGTATTTTAGTTTGTTTTTCTGTATTTTCAGTTAGGGTCATTTTGGAATTGTACATGTTGGAAACAAAATAATTCCTGATGGACTCATTTCCTTCCCAAGATCAAGAATCTCATTCCTGAAAAATCAACTTTAATTTCATTGGAGCAAGTAAACAATGGAATAACCTGGATGGGGGATCAATCACATTGTAGCTAAGTTCTAATGTGACAGCCGCTAAAACAAAATTCAGTCCTATGTGGTAGGATCAGACAGGCAACTAAAGCTCTGATTCCATGTTAAGTTCACATCGATCCCAAAAACTTAAATTGATAGGAAACTGGACCAACAATGTATATCAAGATAAACACACCAATAATATAACAGTTCAAGTGAACCACAGAAAGAAACAGAAAAGAATCAATCAATCAACTTCAGCTTGAAACTCATGCATATACATGTATTTCTCAAGTTGATCATCAAACTATACAAAGAAAACTATCAGATTTGATAAAAACATACAATTTATTTCTTAAAATGAGTAGAAATATTTAACAAACATCTCCAATTTAAAGCAATTGGAAACAATAAACACTTTATAACTCATGACGAACATATTAGATTTCTGCAATAGTGATTCTCATGTAGCATGCAAACCAAATAAGCATTAGTTAAGAAGTACGAATTACATTACCATCAGGGAACCATCTGAAATAGTTATACATAACTACTGCGGCAATAAGTGTTTTCCCAAGTCCAGTCGGCACTACCACCAATGTATTTGAAAATAGTGCCATCTTGGTAATAGAAAATTGATAGTCACGCCGAGGAAAATTAACTGCATTGTTACAAATAAGACTAGAAAATAAGTTTAATGTTTGCTACAATAAACTCCAAACAGAAAAAAGGAGTCAAAATATGACCCTCTGCACGCATTAATATAAAAAAGGTGAGTTCATAAGTCAGACTCAAAGAGCCATTATAAGTTTAGATCTCAAGGAGCAATAGATATCTATTACTTTGGAGAAAATGAAACTTTTAAAATTTGCAATATGGTGGCAACATTTCAATTTGTATCATCGATAACACCACCAAAGTCTAGAAGAAACAATCAAAATCTCAATCTGGGCACAAACACTCACATCCACCCTAAAATGGCCCATGCATTTTAGTTCAATAACATAACCCACTTGACAAAACTTGTACTTGATGGAAATGTCATTAAAAATCTAGCATCCGAAGAAATAAGCTATTTGGTTCATTCAACTAAACTACACCAAAGAATCAAATTTCAACTTCATTCTCCAAAACCTATTCAAATAAATAATAATAATAATAATTAAAAACCAGCTTACCCACCTCCTCAAAACGCAAAATACTAACTTTCACACAGTACCTAAAAGAAAATTACAAAGAGAACGAGAATTTAACCTGGGTACATCCAAGTTTTAGCTGCCTCGGTATCAATTTGAACAGAGGACACTCTGCCATCACCCTCATTACAATCCCGGTTGTGTTCTTCCACATCTCGACTCTCCGGCTGAGGCCTGGGGCAAGCCCTCCCAATAAACTGGTCGAGGGTGGTCTGCCGTGAAGAACCAGGCTTCTTCATGTTCTCAGAGATTGAGGCGACTGAATTTTGTATTGGGGGGTTATTGGGAGGAGGGGCAAAATGGGAAGATTGGTCTGGGAGTGAAGTAGAGGGCTTTGAGGCCTGGGTCTGATAAACAACGTCGATTGCTCTAGCAGCTGCTTCCCAATCAAAATCATCATCGTCGTCGTCGTCGATGATACGGTGAGGATTGGTTGAAGTCATTGGAGAGCTATGAAGGGAAATGGGCTGGCTGGGGAGAGAGAATGTGAATCAATAAACCCTTGGAGAACGAGACAATTTGGCGGCAAAACTTGAAGAATGGCTCGTTTTCCTGGGAGAGGCTAGGAGTTTAATTTAAGTTATCATAGGAGCACACCAGGGCCCGGACTAGACCCTTTCTATTACTTGGTCCAATAGCAACAAGACCAAAAGCCCAAAGAAAATCATACGACTCCCCCCTCTTTTGGCGGGTTGTCACTCCCGTCTCACTCTGCCCTCTTCCTCTGTTAGAACTCCATGGTGCCCTACCAGCACTGACTCCAATCCCCATCATTGAGCCGACCTCCTTCCTCTTCCCCTGTCTATTTCTCCCAAAACACCCAACCTCGTCCCTGTCTCTGTTTCGCCCAAAACGCCCAGTCTGCTTCTGTTTCGCACAAAACCTCCTGTAATCAGAGCTGCATCGCGACCCAATTCTCTAAGTTTTCTGATTCCCTCCATCAAGACCATCACAGGGGTAGGTAAATGCTATTTCTTGTTTGGCGAATGAATATATATTTTTTTCTTTCAATGATATAATTCTGTGACTTTTGTTTTATATGTTGTTGATTCCTGGGTTTTATCATGTTGGAGTTTCCGTTGTTTAGACTTTTGTTTATCCTCTGAAATAATTTCCTTCTTAATGAACTTTTTCTTTCTCCTTCTAGTAATCCTTCTGTTAGTGGTCCAATTTGTTTCTTCATAATATCGTGTTTTTATCTATGGCTTATGCTAAACAAGATTGTTACCACTACCATTGATTTTCCCTATTTCCTTCATTTTCTCTCCTTACTCACAATTCAGTTCTCTACTGTTTACTTCATTTAAACAGAAGCTAATAAGTCATTTAAACACAATCCAGGTCAGAATCTAATAGGTCATCTAAATGAGTTTTAATATAGTTTGTATAGATTGAGGATGTAAGTATAGTTGTTTATTGTGGTAGTTTTAATAATTTTCCAGATTATAGGTATGCTTTTTTTCTTCAAATGTTCTTTGTTATTCAATTCCTAAAAGTATCTGCATTTTCCATTTTGATGCTGCAGATTGGGGCAGCTTTTGGATTCTAGCTGCGTACAACTTATTTAGCTGTTACTTGGATCGGTTTCTTCAAAGCTAACCATAGATGTAAGCCCAAAACATCGGTCAAGGGGACAAGAGGGTCAGTTTATCTTGTGGGGTATCATGTGGGATTTGATTATACTGTCGGGGTTAGGTTTTGTTCAAACCAACACTGTTGTCTTAAGTTTGGGCTTGTGCTATACTACTCGCTTGTTTTGCCCAAATTACTAAATGAAGACACCTCTTTGAAATTTGAAGAGGCATTAATCCATATTCCGGAGGCACATGCTGCAAATTTGGGCAAAGCATTCTATCAGTTCTTGCCTACCATGATATTACATACAGCAGATACTTCTCCAGTGTATGCCATCGTCGTTTTCTCGTTTCATCCCAAGGGGCCTTTCTCTATCCCAAATCCAACGCTTCATACCTAAAAGCTGGAAACGAGGCACCACCCAATTTGAGAAACCATTAGCACCGTCTATTTTC